CCCGCCGCAGCCCTGCCGGCAGCGGTGCAGGCACTTCTGGCACTTCAGGTTCTCGTGCTCCTTGGCCATCAGCCCCTCCGGGCCCGTCAGAAGGCTGCTGCCTGCGGGGAGCGAGGGAGAGGTCAGAAAATACCACCCCACCTGCCACGTCCTTCCATATTATTATTTTTTTGGTATCGAGAGCCAAAACCAGCTGTGGAGAGCTCCAACAGCCGACTCAGGACACAGAATTCAACACGCAGAGGGAAGGAGCAGAGTCCCATGTATAGACAGAAAGCGCATTTTTGGTTACACAAGATGACCAGGCAGACTCCATCCCAAAATTTATCCTAACTTCTCTCTCTGCACATAAGGAACACTTGATATTTTTCAAATATCTTTTAAAATAATGTGTCTAGTTCAAAAGTCTATTGTGCTTTCTGCAGGCAGAATAGAAGTTTGTCAAATTGCAGCTTGCTCCTGTCTGTGCAAGTTCTGGAAGCTTCCCGTAAGCACCCCGAGCTGTAATTACAGGGCAACGCTGGGGATCTGCTTTTCTATTACTGGTTTGCTAAAAAGAGTTCTACAAAATTGTTATGTACCAAACTTTCAGTTATTTTTACTTGGGACGGAGCTGTATTATGCCATTTTCCAGGATGAGCTATTCTAAGACCACGCTAGAGAGAGCGTTCTTTGCACTGCAACACTTGCAACCAGTTACACAGCCCAGTTCTGCCTCTGAAGTACAAACTCCTGCCTCCAAGAGTATGTTCCATCCAGAGAGAAATTTTACTGAGGCAGAAATGCTGTTGCAAGGGAAAGCTGCATCTGTGCTAAGGAGGAATATGTCATTACAGCAGCACTGGTGGAACCACCAAAACAAACTTCGGCCGAGACAGACAGGACCTTGCAGATGAATAAATTTTTTGTTTAGAAAACCAAAAAAACAGGAAATCCCATACAAAAAAAGAACTTTTGTCTCAGAATTAACTTTGTAGTCTCATTTCCTGGCAGCACTGCAAACTTTGAAGAGCAAAGAAACGCGGCAACCTTTCTAACCCAAGCGATACCAATCTCCGGGCGCGGGGCCAGCTACAGAAATACCTTCTCCAACTGAGTTTGGGTCTTACAGTAATTTCCACCCTCATGGAGACAGAACTGCTCTGAAATCTGCTCAAAAAAAGAGCAATTTTTTTTTTTTAACGCAGAGTTCTGCATGTGTTTTAGAGAAATGCTGTGCCCTCGGCCAGAGAAATACGGATCAGTGACTGCCTGGACCAGTACTTGCCTATGGCTTCATGCTCTCCTTTGCGGCTGTGCAGGTATCGGCGCTTCTTCTCCTTCAGAAGGTGCTGGAGTCGCTTGAACTGGTCGATGTAGAGAGACTGCAGGCGGATCAGCTTCTCCATCAAAGTCCCCTCCTCAGCCGTGTACACACCAGCATGCCTGAAAAACACCCACACAAGAAGGGTGAAGTTCCCAAGGGTCCCTCAGGGCTCTTCTCCTGACCGAATGAGATGGATGTTCTCAGAAACACGGGCTGAGCAGGGCTGATTAGCCAGATCAACAGGAAGCGAGCAGAAATATTGACTTTTACACATTTATTTTTAAGTTAAGAGATCACTCAGAGACTGTTGCTGAATGGAACACTCCACACTGAAAGGAGATCACTATCAAATACTCCCCAGAAGAACAACCGGGTCCAAGACTGGTGAGTGTTCACACCTGGCAACTCACCAAGGCACAAAGTCCAACTGTGACACCATTAATGTCATCACCTCTAACATAACCACCACCTCCTCCAGTGTCACACTGAGCTCAGAACGCTCTGCATGCTACACGTGTGCAAGGAGCCAGCAGCCACCAGCACCCAACTTACTTCAAGGGATCCTCCTGGTCGCTATCAATGCTGTCAGCCCCCTCGCCATGTCTGGTCCCCCGTGATAGGGTCCTGCTCGCCGTCGCTCCAGCTGTCCTCATCTGAAAAGTCAAGTCACCCTCAGCAACAGGACACTGTCCTACATCCAAGCCCTCACTGCTCTGGAACAGGACAGCTGGGGACCCCGAGAACTTGGCTCCACGGAGGTGAACTGGCTCTGCCTCTTGCCAAGAGAGGCTTCTCCTCCCCGGTGCAGCGTGAGCAAGGGACGTGGGACAACAGGAAGCCCACCAACTCGGCACAGCCAGAACACAGAGCTCTCAGCAACAGGACACTGTCCTACATCCAAGCCCTCACTGCTCTGGAACAGGACAGCTGGGGACCCCGAGAACTTGGCTCCACGGAGGTGAACTGGCTCTGCCTCTTGCCAAGAGAGGCTTCTCCTCCCCGGTGCAGCGTGAGCAAGGGACGTGGGACAACAGGAAGCCCACCAACTCGGCACAGCCAGAACACAGAGCTCCTGCAGAGCGACACTCCTGCCTACTGAGGAACCACGACCTGCTGGATGAACGACCCTGCAAGACGGGAAGCTCAGCACGGAGCCAGCACTTGACAGGCACTGCTAGAGACTAACACAGCAGAGAGGGAAGCTAATGTTTCTACTCTGCCAGCACAAGGGAAGAAGATCTGCAGGATTTTGGTCTGGCAGTGTGACTTGTCTACAGTCGGTGGCAGGTGAGACACACCAGGGTCTGCAGAACATGATCTTCTACCCACGGACCCTTGGGATCTTTTTTCCACTGGATTTAAGAAGTGATATTCTTGGCATTTCCACACAAAATGGAGAGCTCCAGGTCCTCTCTTACCCAGTTTTCACTTTCAGTTCTTACCTAGAATCCGACTGGCTTCGCTGCGGCTGCTCTCTGCGGTCTGGGAACCCAGCTCCGATTTGGCGTAAGAGCTGAGCTGGCAAAGGAGAGTCTCACTTACAGGTCCAGGATTGGACTTCTTCGTCTGAGCCTGGAGCGCCAGAGTGTTCCTACGGGCATGCTCCGCACAGAAGGACACGCTGCAGGAATAAATCACAAGCTCATTAAGACTCCAAGCCCTCTGCCAGCAAAACAAACAAGCGATGCAGTGAGAAACATCCCCTGGCACCTGGACAGAACATCCCCTCCACAGCAATCTCACAGAGAGCGCTGCTGGCTGCAGGTACAGCTCGGAAATGCCAGAGAGACCCCGGTGGCTCGCAGACCACACACCACCGCTGAAATGCCACCTCTGGCACCAGAGCTGGCAGCCACATGGCACAGCAGCAGGTAGAGCAGAGCTTTTTACATAAAGCCACTGAGGTGAGCTCTTCTGCTTCCAAACCTTCACACTGGACTCTCAGTTTCCATGCTGAGCACGCTATCCCACACTGGGTAGAGTCTTTTTATCGCAGAGGGACCGAGGGCAGAATCAAGACTACCAGTGTCCCCATCTGAGAAGGAAACACGGGTCAATGCTCCTGTAAGGGAAACTGTGCTCTGCTGGATGTCGATAACTGTTCTGGGTCCTTCTGTCCACAGCAATCAGAACATCTGATATGCATCAGAGAACAAGAAGCACAACCAGGTCATCAACTCCACATAACAAGCGACCAGAGTATCCGTGCTGATGATTATCCGTAAGCACAGACAGCGGCAAGTTAAATCTGCTGGCCTGAGCAGAGGCACGGCACCGCATGGGTGCACGTACAGCTCTTACGAAGGACCTGCCTGGATCACTGCAGCCACCTTCTGATGGCAGAGGGCAGCAGCCGGACAGTCCTGCAGGACCAAGACAACTGCATGCAGTGCCCAACACTCACAGAGTCTTTTTCTGGATCAAAAACACTTCAGAAAGAGGGAGCCGCTTGTCTGAGGCAACATAGTGCAGCAGCTGAATCAGGAGAAGGACCTTTTTCTGCCCATTTTGATTCTACATGGTACAGAACCCGGAGACAGAGGTACTCACCCATCCTTCTTCTCCGGTTTGGGCGCAGCATTGGGACATCGCTTTCCGTTCTTTGTTGAGACGTAGCTGCACTGCTTGAAAGGGGCACTCCTGTCTTCGAGGATGTGCTTAATACAAAACTCCTGCCCCTCCAGCCGTGGCTGGGAGCACTGGCGGTGGGTGAAGGCACACGACAGAGGCTCCTGCGGCCTCGGCACCGGAGTAAGGCGGCCTCGGCTGGAGGGCAAAACGTGGATCCGAATTCTGTTCGTGCCAACACCTGCTCGAGAGATGCAGACCAGTTAAAGGAAATGAAACAAACTATTGATTAAAAAAAGAAGCAGCATGTGCTAACACCTCTGAATAAAACACTTTGACCCCCTTGTACAGGCGGGAGATGAAGTAACTCCCGCAGAGAGAATTTCTCCCAAAGTCCGAGGAAACTTTTAGCTTTGCAGCAACCCCAT